GCTGCGTTGGTGCCGGCTGCCGTTGGGGTCAGCCCCAGCTTCCAGGAGGATCTTGGCACACTCCAGGTGCCCGTTGACCACGGCCACGTAGAGGGCAGTCTGCCCCTTGACATCCACCAGGTCGATCTCAGCCCCTTTGCGCAGGAGGAACTCGACGCAGGGCCCGTGGCCGGCGGTGGCGGCGATGCGCAGCGGCGTGCAGGGCAGCCACCCACAGCACCACACCGACTTCTCATTGATCCGGCTGACAGCAGGGAAGGGAAAACACGGAATCCTGAGAGCAGCTCCAGCTGGAAGGGACCCCACACAATTCCCCACCCCTCACAAGGCCACCTAAAAGTAAACCACGTGACCGAGAACATCGGCCAGACGCTCCCTGAACTTGGTGCTGTGAGGGCTTCCCTGAGGAGTCTGTTCCAGGGACCCACCACCCTCTGACAGTGAAGGAACCTTCTGCTGATGTCCAGTCTGGGCTTCTCCTGGCACAGCTTCATTCCATTTCCTCACATCCCTAGCACTGGGCACCAGACAGAAGAGCTGAGCACCTCCCCCAGATGTTACAAAGAGATCACACAAGAGCACTTAAGCTCATAGCATCACAGAATCAATCACAAAATGGTTTGGGTTGGAAGGAACCTTGAAGATCACCCAGTTCCAACCCCCCTGCATGGGCAGGGACACCTCCCACCAGCCCAGGTTGCTCCAAGCCCCATCCAACCTGCCCTTCAACACCCCCAGGGATGGGGCAGCCACAGCTTCCCTGGGCAACCTAGGTCTCACCACCTTCACACTGAAGAATTTCTTCCTAATGTCTCACCTAAATTCCCCTCCTCCAGTTTTAATTCAATCCCTCCTCATCGTCCCACTACAAGTCCCTGTAAAAAGTCCCTCCCCAGCCTCTCTTTTTACATGGGTCTCAAACTGTGTCTTCTGCACTTTTAAACTAATGAAATCCAACAGAACCAAGCTTAAAAAGGTCTGAATCTTGAAAAGTTACCCCAGAAAAAAACCAAACATACACAAACCTTGAGACTTCTTCCCTTAAGCACATAACCAAAATTCAGCTTCTAGAAGCTTATTTTAGCTGAACTTTCTTAAACTTAGTATCTTAACTAATACTGACACCTTATCACAAGACTCTCCTAGTCCTTTCTTGGTTGCTGTCCCACAACTGGTCTTGGGGGCCTGAATGATGGGCTTTGTCACACAGTAAATGAGGGACAAACCCTGCCTCAAAGCTCATACAGAACACCAGAACTCCTTTCTACAGGAAGATGCCCCAAACCAGCAGTGGCAACTGGGATAATTTCATCCAAGCTGCTCCAAAAAAGGGTCAGAATGTCACGGAAGCAGCAGGGAAACATGAGGGCATCCAGACCTCACTCAGCTGCCAAGTGTTAGGATAAAATTGCTCCCTTTAAGCTTGGAGATCTCCATCCCCACGTGCAGAGAAGTCACTTTTCTGCTCATTCCACCACCTGGGTGATGGTGCTGCAGGTCCAGCCCTCCTCCTCTCTCCATACTTTTCCTCTTTTCCTGCAGAGAATCCAGGATCCCGAGCCCTGCTGCTTCCCACAGAGCATGGGACAACCAAGAAGGCCAAAAAAATCTCAAACCAAGGGTCCAAAGAGCCCCAGTTGCCCAGAAAGAGGGGTTGGCTCATTCTCATTTTTTGCTGAAAGGTCACTTTTTTTGAGGCTGGGAGATGTTTTGCATTCTAAGCAGTTTTCTCCACAGTGCAGGAAAATTAATTAACGATCCCCACAGTCACAGACTTAACAGGGGGTGGATTTGGAAACGAGGGGTGTTTCAGGTTTATATCCCACTGTAATCCCTTTTGTATGGTTCTTCCATTACATTCCATCCTGGGGTTTTTTTGGTGGTATCACATTTCTACGCTGATCTGAGGAGAGCTTGGTGAGCTGCAAGCTCACTGAGAGGAAAAGAGGATGAGGGGATGATTTTGGGGGGTGAGGGGAGATCCTCCCAAGCTGAGACCTCTCTTAAAAGAGAAAACAAACAGCAAAAAAAAACACCCAATAAAGCAAAAAGGAGGGAGATGAGGTCTCCATAAAGGCTGGGGGGGAGAGGGTAGCCAAAAATAAAACCACATCCAGGCAGGACCTGGTATTTGGGTGTCTCCCTTGTCCCCAGGAGGGTCTCTAGAGTAGAGGGTGCAGGTGATAGTGACAGGATATTCATTAGTAAGTTCAGTAGAAATATAGCCAAATAAAAATTGACTAAAAGAATGGAATTTGCTTTACTAAGGGGTTACTTTCAAAACTCTGTGTGCTTTGTGAAACTGTCAGTCAGTGATGCCAGGCATCCTGCAGGGTGTGGTAACATCAAGTCTGCTGAGAACCTGTGACACCTACAGACACACGGATGTGGATTCTGACCCATCATGTGGATTCTGACCCACCTGGGCAATCTACCAGTGGGAGACTGGAGACAGGACCAGGACCAGGAGGAGAGACAGAGACAGGACCAGGAAGAGAGACAGAGACAGGACCAGGGCAGAGAGAGACACAGGACCACTGGGCAGAGAGAGACACGACCAGGGCAGAGACAGGACCAAGGTGACAAAGGACTAGAATCAACAAAGACCCCCCAAGAGACCCTCAAGCAGGCACCATGACAAAGCCAGCCAATTCCAGGGAATAACATGCCTGGGAACTCCTTGACATGGAACTGAAGATGCCTGGTTTTGGTGTCTGTGAGTCGGGCATTTCACTCACTGGTGGGAGCACTCATAGTACAGAATCCCCATATAAAAATACACAAATAAAGAATCCCTGATCCACAACAGCTTGTTGGGGGGTGTGTTGTTATCTAGGAATCCCCCTCCAGCCCAGCCCAGCCTCCCACCATGGTGAGGAGTGTTAGGAAGGCAAAGGGGGGTGTTTGGAAGCGAGGTATGTGAGTAATAACCCCCCAAACCCTCACCTGAGGAAGCCCAGTGGGTTTGGTAGCCACCCGTGCGAGGAACAAACCCCGAACCCGGGGCTTGGGAACAAGGTGTGTGAGGAATAACCCCCCAAACCCTCACCTGAGGAAGCCGAGGGGATTTGGAAGG